ATACTTTTAAGTAAACTTTTTCACTAGGTTATCAAGTATATATATTTAAAATTTTATATAAATTAAATAAATATTCAGTAAAAATAGTAATTATAATTTTTTTTGTAATGTACTATATATTCACTATATGATTATATCATATTTTATTTATTTTGAATTAATTTTAAATTATAATTAATTATTTTATTTCTAAAAAAATTAAAAAAACTTTAAAATAAAAGATTAAAAATAAAAAAATTAAAAATAATAATTATATTTAGTAATTAATATTTTATTAATTATTTTATTAATAATATAATTAGATCTCTTTATATTTATATTTCTTTATAATTATCTTTTTTTATAATTATTTTTCTAATTATTAATTAACTTAATTAAAAAAATCTCTTTATAGTTACATTTTTTTTAATTATCTAATTTTCTTTTTTCAAGTATAATAATTATAAAAAGATCTGATTGTATTTGCAAATATATATCTTAAAATAATATTTAATATATATAATAATTTATATAAATTTACATTTATTTTATATATATAATTTTAAAGTTTTTTATTTTTATATTTATTAATATCTTTTTCTATATAAATATCTATATAAAATTTAAGTTTATTTTTAATAGATTAAGATTTTATTTAAACTTATTATAATAAATTAATATGTGAATTCTTAATATAAAAATAATAATATTAATTTTAGCAAATTATTTATATTATAAATATATTTTATTAAGTTTATTTAATATTTTAATAATTATTTTTAAGAGTAATTTAAATATACTTTAATTAATAATATATGATTAAAAATAATTTTTAAGTATTATTATTATGTATTGATATTATCATGATTTTTATTTTATACTTTTTTTTTAATCTAATATTTTTATTAATAAATAATAACTTTTTTTTTTATATTTAATAGATAAAAATTATATTAATTATAAAAATATCTTTAGAAAATTTATATTTATCAAAGATTATATTATATAAAAAAATTTATAATATAAAGAGAAAATATATATTGGATAAGATTAAAGATAAAATAATAATAAATAATTATAATTTCTAAAATTATTTTATAACTTGTCTATTATAATAAGATCTTAAGTTCTGATTATTTGAAGTTAATATCTAATTCAATATTATTAATGAGTTTATAAATTAAAAATTAAGAGCTAAAAAGTTGTTTTTACCATTCAAGATTCTCTTTTTGCTTGATATTAGAGATCTAAGTATAGAGAAATTCTTTTTTAATAATGATAATAATGATAATGATAATAATAATAATGATATTACTATTAACATATTATAAAGTTAATTCTGAAAAAATAAAAGATATATTATAAAAATAAGTATTAGAAGAAGATACTTTGCTATAATTCTTTAATCAAGAAAAGATATTATAATCATGTATTTGAATTGAAGAGTTAAGACTTTTTCCAGAAAAGTTATTATTAGAACTGGAATTGACACTAAGAAAGAGATTTTACTCAAATATTGTCTAAGTTACTTATTCTTTTTTATTCACACATTCATTTTTGCTTAACAATATTGATACAGAAATCTATTGTCACAATTGTATCAAAATAATCATCTTTTAATAATTTCGCAATAATATACTCTCTTATAGTTAATCATTAACGCAGGGTATCTGATGAGATATCAAGTTTCTTAGTCGGATAAATACATAAGAGGAAAGATGTAGTTTACGATTTTTGATTTGAATCTATGATTTTCATTGATAAGCAATTATTGCAAGCAAAAAATTGAAACGGTAATAATTGCCTATGATCATGTGAATAACACGTTCCAAATATTTACACGTGATTTTTTTCCGGCATTGCTAGGGTACTTATCAATAGCCTTTCCAAGATATTTGCATGTCAATTAAAGTTACGCATCCTATAATCCAGGAGCAATTGGCTAAATCTGTCAAACTCCAGATACTTTTATGATAAATAAAATTTTTATAATTCAAAGTTTCAAAAGAACATTTTACCCTAATAGTTCTTTTTGTAGATTTAAATGGTAGATTTTGCGAAAATCGCAATCGTTTTACCAAATTTTCCTGTGACATAGTCCAAAAAAGTTGCCTGGCAAAACCTATCTCAACTAGTGTCAAAGATTTTAATATAACTACGGGTTTTGATAAAGTTGTGTCTTATGATATGTTTACTAATCTAGGTTTGACAGGCAACTTACAACGGAATAAGTTTGATATTTTATCACATGCATTCCGACAGTTTTTTCATGTATTGTTTTTTCGTGTATTAAAAAAAAAAGAAAGTGAATACTAACAATAGTAATAATATGAGCATATTCAATCAATATCTCTCATTTCCGATTGAGCAGTTAACGAACTCCGTGAACTGGATGATAAAGTTCTTCCTTTAAGTTCTCGACTGCGTTTCCTTTGAATGAAGACATATGGAACTGGACCGAATTCACATATAAATGTGAAGATACTGATTAGGATGTATGCGATTATGGGTCGATTACCTGGTCGAATGAACCATAATATACCTATTTGATTTAGTAATTTGATAGTTAAAATTAATTTGAATTGATTAAATTAATTGATGATTGTCGCAAAATAATCGTTTTCTTACTCGCAAGACAATATTGTCCAATACTTCCAATATTCCAAAGGATCAAAATCAAGAACAACCGTGATGGTGGACATCTAAACTTTTTTTCACCTTGATACGTATACCAATCGTAATCTTTCTGAACCTTCATTTGCTGTTGTCTGATTTCCTCAGGAACACCATGCCCGCCGTCAACATTTCCACCTCCACTTGCTCTCATGATTTTCCAAGCACGGGGTAAATTTCTTAAGCGTTTCGGGTGCAAAATAATAGTAATCAAAGTGAACTCCGCGTTTATGAGTTGCGTCAACATCTCGATCCAGAATGATTTTTCTTTTTTCTGTTTCAAATGAATTACATCAATCAGAATTAAAAAGTACAATGAGAACGCGATACTAAGACGAGAGAGCCACAAGATAAATATGAGTTTTTCGTTTTTTCTGTAGATTCTTTTGATCTTTTGCCATGTCGTCTTATTGGTTCGTCTTTTTCGTCTTTCTTCTGATGTTCGAGCTCTTGTTGCCTTTGTTCGTGGTGTTGAAGATAATGATCTTGTTAATCCTGGCCCCGCGGGTAATTTTGGATTTTTTTCGTCGCTTGAGAAACGAAATGCCGAGTTTGGTGCGTCATCAATTTTAGCGGATAACGGATGATCATCATCGTCTTCTTCGGTCGGATGAATTTTTATTTGCAGTGGATGTACCATTTCTAATCAATTATTTTTTATATATATATATCGATATGATTTATTTATTTGTTATTTATTAATTAATAATATTTTTTTTTTGTTTAAAATATTTTATGTACATACTAATAAAATTAAACGAAAACTTAGGTCTAAGGAAAAATAAATTGGTTGAATAATGTGAAAACGTTAATTTTTTTAAATTTTTTTACAAGAAAAAAGTGATAGGTGGTAGTTGTTGTTGTTGATACAAACAACATCAACAATAAAAAAAAACATAAACAGAGGGATAGACACTACAATTTATCAAGTGAAGCGCAACTCTTTTATAACCAAAAAGCCTCCTTTATAGATCCAATCAATACACCTGAAATTTGAGGCTTTTGCTTTGTGCATTGATGATGGCTTTTCATTATTATGTGATCTGATTACAATTGAAATGCACATTGGAAAATAAACAATATTTTTTGTTCCATCTTCCCGTTCAAAGCATATAAAATAATGGTAGAGCGCAATTGACGTTTCATTGTTTAATTTAATGTATGTGTTCTTATCATTTTGTTGTGGTATATTGGTATCGCTTGTATTTTGACAAAGTTTCTAAAGGACATCCTGGTGAACTTTAGGCCAAATAAAAAATGCTTTCTCTTTTGTATACATTAGAAGTGTACACAAAAAAGATATATTGGTTTTTTTTTTTTTTTAATTCAAAACTAAAGATTTTTATGGATAAATTTATTATAATTGCACTTCCTCGGCAACGGCACCACTCTCCGTAATCTCTAAAACATTCACCTCAGTCTCGATATCTTCTTCAAGAAAAGCTAGAGTAATCGCACTAGAAATCACATCAAAGTTATGAGTCGCAAGTGCAAGTATGGTGGGTCCAGCACCGCTTAGACAGATACCTACTAGACCAGGATGTGTTTTTGGTGTGACACTTGATAGGATGCGTGATAATCCGGGAATCTGAAAGAATAAAATATATTATAAACTTTTCTATTGTGACGTTGATTAACAGACAGACATCTTTAAAGATTTCAAATTTATTATTACCAAAGTTTTTCGATATGGTTGATGTACTTTATCCTGCATTGCTTGAAAAATCAGATCTGGATCTGGAGGTGATTGTGCGAGTGCAGTTGTCAATACTGCTAATCGCTGTAAATTGAATACCTAAAGGGAATTTACGATGAATTGATTAATAGTACAAATTATCAAATTAAAAATCATATTAACTATACCACTTACAACGTCTTTCCTTTGATATGTATTCGGTAATACACTACGCGCAGTTGCAGTAGCAACCTCAAATTTTGGCATAATAGTGATAGCTTTAATCTCTTTTGCCCAACCCAATCTGATATAATGTCCAATTCCCAAAGGAACAGTCCGTGGTTTCGTATTGTCATCTCCTTTGTTATCATCATCATTATTATCAGTAAAAACATTGCCACCAACAATACTGATTGACTCCTCAGAATGCGGCACATTTTTGGCCTCGGTATCTTTCGGTTCTAATTCTCTCAGATATGAGGCAACAAATCCACCCATCAACGCCGCGGTAACATTATCAGGATGTCGTTCCACCATCAACGTAAAATCTAATAGTCTATCTTTACTCAGACTCAGATTGCCTACCACATTTCCCAACAAAACGCCTGCTACAACAGCCGCACCCGAAGAACCAAGCCCACGTCCCATAGGTATTGAATTATTGACGTGAATGTGCAGTGGGACGGGAAATCCAAAAATGTTGTGACACGCGAGAACGTAAAGTGCAGTTTTGGTAATTAGATTTTTTGTCGGTTTTAATGAAATACTCTCACTTCCTTCTCCTGTGTAGTCGAGTGTTGTTTCATTTGTGTAGTCAGTGGCTGTATTGGCGTTGGTTTGCGGGAGCTCGAGAAATTCAATGTCGAGCGTTAGAAACATTGATAATGTTAATCCGAGTACGTCAAACCCCGGTCCAATGTTTGCCGATGAACATGGAACTGTAATCTTGACTTTTCTCGTAACTTTAGACATAATTGTTTAAGTAATAAATTAAAAATAAGGGACTGCAAAATGGCGCGATTAATAAAATATGCTTCACGTATTAGATGATCTATAAATTATAAGCGCAAATTCGAATTCGTGCTCCGAGACAGCGCATCATCGGTGTCCGTGATTAAACCTGAAAAATTTTAATTAAATCATGTGACTAATAAAATCGAGATGATCTGTAAAAATGAAATTTGTGGGAAAAGGATAATTTATTTGAATGCACCGGCTTATAGCAAAATGAAAAATTAAACAATCGTATAATTCTTGCGCAAATAATTTTATTTCTAATTAATTCATATTATTTTATAAGTTACAACTATACTAATTCAAAAAAATTCACATAAAGTTTTGTTTCTCAATTTTCCAAAATTTATAACAAGAATATAAAAATTTGTTAAAAGATATATAATAAATATAAAAAATCCCAAATATGTTTATCTCCAATTAAAAAAACCCCCAGCAAATACCTCTTCGAATTCATTTTTTTTTGTCGGAAATTGTTATTGATTTTGCCAATGAATTGACATCCTAATCCAATTACTAAATTTGTCCTATTACCCATCTTTTTTAATTATAAAATAATGAGTTAAGAAAAAAGAGAAAAACCCGATTAAAAGTTGACCCATACTTGAATTTATACTAATTTCCAAAACAATAATAATAACAATAACATATAAATCAAATCACCAGCGTTCAAGTGGCCTTCTACGCGGATTGTATTCAAAGTCGACAGCAGATCGAGAAAATTCTCTTTCCATGTATCCTCCTCTTTCAGCTTCCGGGCGTAATGAATAAGCTCGTTCTCGTTCATAACGATCTTCCCTTGGCAAGTCATAATAGATATCTGTTCTAGATAATTGATAATCACGGTCATATGGATTATTATTGTGAGCATACCAAGGAGATGATGATCCATTAAATCTACGATTATGATGATCTTCATAAGCGGGACGATAAAAGGTGGGTGAACGAGATCTTCCACGAGTTACTGGAGGCTCTCTTTCATACTCCCGATAATGTCCCCCTACTCCTCGCTCATCATATTTTTCATTATATCTACTACTAGAATAATAATCTTCATAGGGTGCAGCCGACATAGAACGTGGATAATATTTCTCAAATTTATCTTCAGATACTGCGCCTGGTACTGCTGCTACTGTTGTGATTGATGATCCAACACGTGAATAATATTTATCATGCCCAGGAGGATAACGCGAACTATTATAACGATAATCATAGTCTATTACAGATCTAGAATAATTTTTTCCTGGAGATTCATTTCTAGCGTATTCTGGAAAGCTGCGAGTATATTCATGAGTATCTCCTCGCCTTGGACTTGCTGATCTACTTCTAAGTGACCGTTCAAATTCAAGAGGCTGTCGATCTCTGTCACTTTTTATAAATTCCGGACGATACTCATTACTTCCATTATTAAATAATTGAAATGAATTTTGATTTTGCCGCGGATAGAATGTTGACCGACTATTATTACTACTATTGCTATTACTAATATTAATAATATTATTATTATTACTACTACTACTACTATTATTATTATTGTTATTATTATTATTATTATTCATCATAGCTCTTGAAGGTTGTCTATGTTTACCCTTGAATCGATAATTAGTTGTTGGTGACTCGTGTATTGCCATAGCATTAGAGGGCAAAGATTCATTTTCTTGTGATATAAGAGTAGTATTAATATTAACTATATTATTATCATTACTATTATTCAACTGTTGTGTTTCAATAATAGATGATTCCTCCTCTGTCTTGATATTTAATAACCTTTTTTCTTCCTTTTCTTCATCTTTTTGTGTAATGGAAGTAGCAGAAGTAATAGACGTATTATTAGTAGTACCAGTAGAAGCAGTTACACCAGAAGTAGCAGTAGAAGTAGCAGCAGTATTACTCTTTTCAATATTCTTTATGTGTTCTTGTTTTATCTCATTTAACAAATCACTTGCCTTTTCCATGTTGTCTGCATTTTCACTATGATCAGTAGTATTAGACTTAGTAGAAGCAGCAGCAACAACAGTAGCAGTAGTATCATTTACTATTTTCGAGTCGATCAAAGAATTTTCACTGCTTTTTGCCTTAAACTTTTGCCCCGCTTTTAATTTATTCTTCAACACTTGGAGCTTATTAATGATTGCCATATTTGTCTCGCCAGGTTTTCTTTCTCTGTTAGACTTTAATACCTTAGACTCTTGAGCTCCTTGTTTCTCAGCTGTGATGACATTTGATTCTTGTTCCTTATTTAATGAAGAAGCAGCAGCTGATAAAACGGGCCCTTCCTGAGAGGATTCTTTCTTTCTTTGAGTCTCCAATTCCAATGTATTGTTTTCTAGAGCAGAACCATTAATATCATTATGACTATTATTGACACTAATTATCGGTTGACTCGGTTGTGGAGGATATGTTAAGGAAGCTGTTATTTTTTCTTTTGATTGATCTGAAGGCACTACTGATACCTGATTCTGTGAGAACGTCAACGACTTATTGTTACTCGAGTTATTACTACTATTGCCATTGTTAATATTATTAGCATTATTGATATTAATATTGCTATTGCTATTACTATTACTAATCTTATCCTTAAACTCAAATTCAGATTGAATAAATAAAGGTTGGACTTGTGACTGATCCATTTGATTTCCAGTTAAAGCAAAGAGCCTATTATTATTGCTATCATCATCATCATCATCATTATTATTATTATTATTGCTATTATTATTACTATTATTATTATTATCATTATTATCATTATTATTATTATTATTATTATTATTATTACTATTATTATTATTATTATTATTATTATTATTATTATTATTATTACTACTACTACTATTACTACTACTACTATTATTATTATTCCAGTTATACTGTTGAGGTAAGCTTGACGCAGATAAAGATTGATATTCTGAATTTCCATTTAACAATTGGATCTGCGATTGTTGGAATTGATTATGCGGCTGTCCATTTGTAAGCATAGTTGCTGATTGCTGTAAATTAAAAGGTAAACCAATTAAAGAGACTTGTTGTTGCTGTGGCTGTGATGACTGCTGAATAGCGGGCCATGTTGTGGAAATTGATTTTGCAAGTGGTTGCATGGTAGCTTGGCTTAAAATTGCAGGAGCTAAAGAGCCAACGTTCTGAGGCTTAAGAATGGGAAGATTCGCTGTTGTTGTTCCTAATTGCATGGTAGGAATAGCCGTGTTTTGACTATAAGATCCAACATTTTGTCCTGCACCTCCTGATGAAGATCCTCCTACTAGACGTACACTACCACTCGTTCCGCCCCCAATATTCTTGGGGGCCAATTTAATTGTATTGGATCCAAGCTGTGGTATATTATTTGGTCCCAATTGCATAACATTTTGTTGATCTATTGTAATAGTGTACTTCTAATATTAGCTTGTCTTTCAAAAAAACCATAAGAAAATATTAATACATGCCTGACAAAGAACCTCGGGCATTGTTATTGTTATTTTGACGTGAGAGCGTATCTGAATTCATTTTACCAGAAGCGGGAGGTCTGCGAACTGGTGGATTCTCGCACCATTTACAGCCGACACGGCATCTCTCAGTGCAATCAAACTTTTTATGTCCTATACTACCACAATGATGACAGCGATGTGAATCCATGGATACTTATTGTCGCAATTCTTTTTCGATGTTTTTATCCGTTTTTTTTCTTTCAAGGGGAAACAAAATATTCTATAATCAAGATTTTTTATAGTAGATTGGAACCTCTAATTTTAAACGATTCATTTTGATTGGAGAATACTTAGTTTTGGTTAACTTCGATCCGATGTGCTCGGATCGAGTTTCTTTTCGGACTGATTTATATAACTTTACGAAATGGCTCACTTAAGAAACGGAACACAAAAAGTTTTACCAAAAAAATTCTATAGTGCCTCTAATTTCGATTAAATGTATGTACCTGATTCCTATGCTCATTTTAAAGCTAATAACCTAGAGAATGTCAATAAAAAACCTAAAAAAATTAATAAATTAAATGTTGCCATTCTAAGGAAATTAAGTGATCTACATGAACATTTTTTAATCAGTTGTAGTTTAACTCCAAATGTTTTCTGAAGAGGATTGACCTAATTAGAAATGTGAAAACTATCAATTTTCAGCTGAATTAGTGCCAAATTCGATCCAGAAGTTGCATATCAATGCAATTTGGGTACCAATTCAGCTGAAAAATTGATATGTAGATAGTTTTCACATTTTAATTAGGTCAATCCTCTTCAGAAAAACATTTGGAGTTCAACTGATTAAAGAAATGTTCATGTAGATCATTTTATCGATGTTCGATGCACTAGAATTTTCCGGGAATGAGCCATCGTATTTTATTATCTTACGTGATCTAATAAATGAATCTCCCACGATAGATTAAATTTTTCTAAAAATATATAGGTCAAAATGAAAGGATCATTGCTTTCTTTGCTACTTCGAAAAGAAAGATTTACAATACTAACAAATAACCCGCAAATACTATTACACCATAGATTTTATTCCACTAATAACAGAATCATGGTTAAAACTCTTACCTCCGGAGAACGCACCTCACTACTTGATCCGTTGCTGCAAAACTCTTGGGCGCTAGTCGAGAATAGAGACGCGATAAAAAAGACGTTTACGTTCAAGAATTTTAATGAGGCATTCGGGTTCATGACTAGAATCGCTTTGAGGGCTGATAAAGTTTGTATTTAGGCGTTGATTTGTATTTTATTTGTTCATATTGGATTTGATTATTCATACTTTCTTATAATTGGCTTTAGGTTGATCATCATCCGGAATGGTTTAATGTAAGTAAATTCATAATAATCATCAACAACTGAAAACTTAAGATTAAGTAATGATAAATATACTATTACTTTTCTAAGGTATATAATCGCGTCGAAATAACTCTTGCAACTCACGAATGCCAAGGGCTCTCAAAACGTGATGTAGATTTAGCGAATTTCATTGATGGTATCCATGTGGTTGAAAAGAAAACTTAATAGTTAAATAAATGTAAATTGTTTATGATATAAAGCAAGATAAGTGTTTAACCATCATCCCCAACAAAACCGACGAACATTACTATTTTTCACGTGTTTCACCAAATAAAAGCATCAATTCAATATTATCTCTCTATATTATAACTCTATATTATAACATGACACGACGCCAAGTCCCTTTTTATATACCTTTTTTATTCTCGATTAACCAATACCCATAATCCCAACCCTCCAATTAAAATCCACTTTAATTGCGGATAATCATTCATGAGTATTGTGACCATTCCAACATGCGGCAAAAATCTAAAACCATAATATATAAAATCAATTAATTTCGTTTGTGGATAATCATCAGATCATTCCAACATATGGCAAAAAAGTGTATAAATAAAAAATATTATGCACACCCTCTAACTTTTCCCACAATATCTTCTTTATGAATCCAAAGTTGTCCAGGATTGTATAGTCCTCGATCATCAACCTGATTATTGTCTCCTTTTGTCAGAATGAATTGTTTACCGGTTTCGCGTCTAATTAAAGAATTCATCATTTCAACGTTAGATAAAAAATAAAAAATAAAAAATAAAAAATAAAAAATAAAAAATAAAAAATAAAAAATAAAATAAAATATTCGTACTCATCATGTAACTTTATGACGCGATGGACAATCGGCACATCCCTTCCCGGAATTTTAAAGACCACTATATCACCAACATGCACTGGTTCATTCGGCATTCCAAGGAACAAAAGATCACCACGATAAAACGCCGGTTCCATACTACCACTATTACAGACATTCATTCATTCATTCAGTGAATTATGTGAATTAAAGCTGCTTGCTATAATTCGTGTTTGATATTATGACCCATGCCGCAATTATTTTATTACTATGTCGTAATTGTTCAAAACTATTATGACCAGCAGCTTTAATGCGAATTATGCAAGAATATCAATGGGAAATAAAATTTATTATCATACCTTAGAACGACAACTATTGGACTTTCGCTATTTGTGTATAATGCTAGCCCTTTCCACACCATTAATGCCGATGAAATTATCATTACGAAATTAAGGATTTGCATTGCAAGCTTTCATGTATGATTACGATACGAAGTTGTGAAAGAGAGATGCATATTTTATTACGCTAATGTAAGTCAATTAGTGAAATGCGAGAGGTACACTTCTCCCTCGCTTTAATCATTTAAAGCAACGATGTCACGTCACAAGAGAAGGAAAGCAGATGTCAAAAGACGACTAAACTACCTGTCGCTTGGTCATCCTACGCAGAAAACTTAGCTCCTCTTCAAACATTTTGTTCAAAATCAACGGTAAAGTTGTGCTAGTAAAAAAATATATTCTAAATTGATCTAACCAAACACCTTTCGAATTTTGATTCGTCAAATGACCTGCATAAAATTCCCGTTCTTTTTTGATTCGGCTGCGCCAAATTTTAACCTCACGCACACAGCCACTCTCTCACACTCATTTCATTATTTCAATGGGACAAGATCTACATTCTGTCCATTATTGATTCTTTCCTATTTGATGCTTTGATGCGTGGGTAAATATTGCTCGAGAAATTAGCGCATTTTTCCAATTGAATTTTTTTTTTCTCGGTGCCGGAAATTCAACAGATCTTGTATTCCCGCTCAAAACTGAATTTTTTTGTACAGAGTTATGACGCCATCCTTTTTAAAATTTGTTACACACATGAGGTCAAATGACATGTAGAGATATATAAAACCTAAAAAAATTGGGTGGTTGCGAATCTCTGTCGCACATACATCAAGTCTCGTTTTTGAACGCACACACGCACACAAAAAATACACACACGAAAAAAAATACACACACGTAAACATACATCTATATTTATTGCGCACAACACGTTTACATTTTTCTTTTTTTGTGTTTGCTTTGAAATTCCCTTTATCTATATATATTTTAACATTGACCCCCGATTTGCGTCACATCATTTGTCCGTATTGTCCGAAGCGGAGAAAATTCTCCCTCCTTCGTCATCAAATTAAATTGATTATCCCAGGGTAAAAGTAAGTGAGAATGTGTCACCTAAGAACCCTTCTTTTTCATAATGCACCACCTAAATGTATCAAATAAAGTTATTTATAAGAAATAATGGCAAAAAACGCTATTCTAATAATATATTGACTGCGCGAGCCAACCATCAGAAAAAAACCATCAATGGTACGAACATCCAAAAAAACTTTTTTAGAACCACTCATAATATAAGATCATTTATTATAATATATTTGGAATATTTTATTTCGACCCATAACTTAATGTACCGTATTATGTTCCATATAAAATAGTATATTAATATTGTTTGATAGTAATATTTTCCATCATATATTTTCCTTCATTCTTTCCTCTCATTATCATTCTTATTATTATTTTTACTCTCGTTCATACGCCGCCCTCACTCCAATCCCTAAGATTTTTATTTGTATGTATGTTAACTTTGTTTGATACTACTTACGCACACACCACTACATACCCCTTCTTCCCTCCTAGTTTAATTATAAGAACACATTTCGACTTTAAAGTCGTCAAACACTGAATTACTTCTCGGAAGCATTTGTAACCTGCGTCCGAGCCAACCATTTAAAATAAATATTCTCCTTGGCGTATAACTATTACACAAACACATAAAACCGAGACTTAACTCTTTCTTTAACAATTAACCTGAGACATTATATACTTTGTGTGAGATCATTCAAACACTTTCCTTTCGCTTTTTCTTGGCTTTGACTAAACTGAATTACCCGCCTTCGCTGCGCTTTAACAATTTAGTTACTGCGCAAATACATGTAGGTTATAAAATTTATTCCCGTTCGACGCTTCTGTTTATTGTTTCCTTTTCGTAGACTCCTAACCATATTGTTTGCCGGTTATTTTACATTTGCATTTGAATTCTAGTGTTCGGTAACCATGTCGCAAGGTGAGGCGACAAACTTAACAACGACAATCAACACCACCGAGGGCGTTGTCGAAAGCTCTTCGGCGACGACGAACATTGCGTCTTTGGGCGCGACAAAAGGACGGCGCAAAACTACAAGAAAGAAATTGTCCCAACAACAGGTAGAAGTGGAGGATAGGTCGAAAGATCAACTTCAATATCAGCCACATTCCGAAACTACTATTTCGGTAGATAGGAACAGATACTCGACCTCTCTTGATCCGAGAGGTTACATTCCAGGTATGTTTTCGTTACATTCTTTTGTCGAATTCGTTGCTATATGTTCTTTACTGTCGTGGGCAATGCAGCAAATTCACAGAATGTTATCGTGGGAAATTTTTAATTTCAACGCAAGAATAATTGTATCTTTGCGTCTTCGACTCTTCTACTTATCGTCTTTGATAGTCTGTCATCTTTTGTTTCAAATATATAGAAATGTGAATATCGTAATTTCATAACACCATTTGTTGAATTGATTTTTTCCTTTTTTCATTGGAATGATTTACAGTTTATGAATACGACATCAACGAACAGCCGATAATGTGGGACCGTGAAACTGGATACGTTCATTTCACAGGAATATGGAAGGCTCTTGGGAAGAACAAGGCTGATATCGCGAAATTAGTAGAAACCCACCCGGACCTGGCAGCAACCATTAAAAAAGTTCGCGGTGGGTTTTTGAAAATACAAGGGACTTGGTAAGATATCCCTGACTTTTGTGGATTTAGTTTTTTCTTTCATTGCCCGAGAATCGAATTGAAATCAGTTTATATTAAAATATTTCTTTTCTTGTTTTCCTTATATTTCGAATATGTATAGGATGCCGTACGATTCAGCAAAGGAACTTTCGCGTCGGACATGTTTCCCGTTAAAGGATCAGCTGGTCCCAATTTTTGGACCTCGTTTTCCGTCGGAAGTATTATCGCCAACACAACCTGGTTTCGGGGTTCTTGCTCTCACAGACGATGCTGCACAGAAAAAGAGGATTAGGCGAAAGCCTAAAGAGGCAGCTTCGGTTCCAAATAATGTAACGTTGATGCATATTAACACTGCAACACCCATCAGCACAAAAACAATTACTACTACCGGTACTGTTACTGGGTGCGCGGTTAAGCCCAAGCTGAAAATTTTGCTCGGAAAACGTGAGAGAGAGAAGACCAAGGAAGAGGCTAACACTATTTCCTCAAATACAACGCGGAGCTACATGCATTCGAGCTCCACAGATAATATTTTTGATTCCGACAAATATCCATTCCAATCTTACCGTAATCCATCAGAAGCTCAAGGTGGATCCTCATCGACACAACGATCAAAAATCAGTAATATCCATGCGCTCCTCAATGAGGAACAAGTTGACCCTAAGTACGATCGAGAGCATCCAACCTTGAATGATTGGGACTTTTTTCTCAGAACTGACGCTCATTCTACTAAACGAAGATACGAAGAAGATCAAGATGATTATTATCAAGATGCAGATTCATTTGATCATGAAGGAGGAGTGCCACGCAAACTCAGGAAATTTTCAATGGAGACAGAACAGTTGACTTACGAAGATGGATCATCGACTTTTTGTCAAGATTTCGCATATCAATGTGGCACCTTTTTCCCTAATACCACTAACATTACTACTACTACCAATAATGATACCGGAATTAATGATGCTTATCAAGATCAGACGCACGTTTCACCAATAAATAATTCCGATGATATAATCGCGATTTCAAGTGATGAATCCAGTTCTGAGATTTCATCCAATAACGGTGTTATATTTGAACATTATAATTCGCCGATCCCAATGAACCCAGTTCATCCGAGCAATGCCAGTCCACCAAAACCAATTTTTGAACGGGATCTTTTAGAAGAGGTTGAAGCTGCATCAATCCTTCAAGGATTAGCGAATAATCGAGGAAATAGATCAGTTGCTTCGTGGCCACGAACATTCATTTTTAACAACCAAGAATTTCAGTTCAGCGGTTGTGGTTATCGAGTTTTACGGTATTGGTGAACAAACAATTGCACACTACTATGGGGATGAGAGTGAATAAAGAATGTTCAATTGCGTGTATTTTTTGAGTATTTCTTTTTTTGTAAATATTTTACTGCTCAAGGGGTTTTTAGAAGGACTGTAAGATTAGATAGTGGACAATGACGATATATCATTTTGTGAACATTTTTATTAGTGGACAATGCTGTTTTATTATAATGTGGAACAATGATGTTTTTTTTTTATTTTTTTGCATGTAGAGAGTTTTTATAATCAAAGAATCAAGTTCTCTTTGCAATGTAATAATTCCCCTTTAATGAGCGGTGTATATTGGACAATCCATACATATCTGTATATTTTTTCTTTTTTAATTAATTTTGTATATATATTCCTTGCAAGTACAATATTTTTATCAATTGAATTATTGCTTTTTTCTCTCTTGCAAACATGTAGATATTTTTTCTCTTTTTTTTCTTCGCTTGAATTTGATATCATCATTTATCACACAACACCCTCCCCCCCAACACAACACCCTTCCCCCAACACAACATCCTCCCCCCCAACACAACATCCTCCCCCAGCACAACATCCTCCCCCAGCACAACATCCTCCCCCAGCACAACATCCCCATCCCTCCCCCCAATACCCTCAACGAACATTTCTTTATTGTTAGTAGTTTTTCTCGATAGTTATGGATTTTAATTTTTTTATAATGTATATCAATCATACACAAGACATTAATTAATCTTTTTGCACACAAAAACATTATTTTTTTTTTAGCATTCATGGAGTAAAGTAATCGATTAGTATATGTAATTTCTAATTTCTTAAGAAACGACAGACGATCATACGCAATTTTTTCGCGAAATTTCTTATGCTGAACTGTTACATATGAAATACTAACGAGACTTGAAACAGAAAATTTAATAAAAAAAAATCAAATACTTTCTTTTCACACACTTTAAAATTTTAATATTTGATCGACTTAATTCTGCCAAGACGAGAATAATGATTATAATGGAGAAACTATAATCGCCGTAAATCATATCGCACGTAACACGAAATCACAAAAAAAAGTATGCACTCTTTATCTCGTCGCGTTCTATCTATTGCTACAACTATCAATAATAATGTTACGAAAAAACCCAAGATATCTTCAGTAAGGTTTAATTTCTCTTCGTTCTTTGCGCATCATGATCAAAGATTTTATTCAACGGCAGTGCAAGGTTAATTAATAGAATGATTTGATAAACTCTAATTGATTTATTAGCTGATTACATAATGAACCTCGATATAACGAACTCTCCCGTTCCATTGATGAAAAAATCTGTTGTAATGAGATTTAATTAAGAAAGCCCTTATTTATATCGAGAAGGATTTACTATAATCCGTTCTGAGCCTCAATCCGGTATATCGAGGTTCACAGTGTAATGAATAGTTTAGTTACAAATTAATAATCGATCAACTTTAAATTTTTGATAACAGCAGAAAGAGCAACAGCAACATTGTCAGAACCTCAGATTCCTCCGTTACTCACAAAATTAAAAAGTGACGTTAAAGATGCGATGCGTAGCAAAGATAAAGGAAAATTAAACGTCATCAAGGTAAAAATTCTATCAATTCTAACCAATCTAATAAAAACAGATGATCAACTCTCAGTGCAAACAATTTAGGGACTTCTGTCGGACATCACATACGCAAGTAAATCAGCCGACTCCACAAGCACATTTCCATCAACCGACGCAGAGATCTGCGCAATAATTCAACGTGCCATAAAACGTCGCCAAGAATCAATCGACCAATATTCGAATGCAAATCGCGCAGATCTCGCATCGGCCGAACAAACAGAACTCGAGATTCTGCAGACTTACTTACCACCACAATTGTCAGATCAGGAGATCGAGGACGAGGTGAAAAAAGTGATAAGTAGTGTTGGCGCATCAAGTGTAAAAGATCTTGGTCGTGTTATGAAAGAGGTTAAACTTGATTCGAGTCGTGCTCCTAAAAAACGTATATCTGAAGTTGTGAAGAGGTTGTTAAGCTAATAGCGATGTGAATATATGCATATACATAGTAGTGGGAAGAATTGCATTAATATTTATTGAAAAGTTGCTAGATCAATTTTTTATTCGTATCGAGTAAACTAAACAAAGATTTTTCTATTTTTCTATCATTAAACTAAATAATAAATACATGTTATTCGAGATCTAAACACTATTTCATCTTGCTGTTTTTCTTTTTACGTGTGATTTCAAAATTCTGATATTAAATTAACTTTTATTTATTACCTTTATTCTTTTTGCCTATAACGAAAGTTCATTTTTTTAGTGAGGTTATCCAATAATTCACCAGTAAAAAAACTACGCGATAATTATACGAATATAACATAAACTCACCTAACTGGAGCCATTTTGGCATCTTTGTGTTTGAGGCCGACGATGATCTACTGCCGCTTTCATCAGGATCTGGATTTTTTTTTCTAGTCACGTATTTTTCCCGATTGGAAGGATCAGAAGGGTGATCATCACCACTATACTTAACGTGTTTTTCCGACGACGATCCTTCCGTTTCCGCTATAGAAATTGTTCCGACAGTGTCGTTAGTTGTGAGATCTTCAGCTAATGCCAACAAATTGTCAATCAAATACGGAGGTCCATCGAGTTCTAATATGTACGTGATTAAATGTGACCATTAATCATTAATTTTGAAGTTTATAGAATATAAGAAACAAATACTTACCAAGACTATGGAATTTTTCTGTCCAGCTAAAGTGCACTACTGAAGCAGGAGATAATTCCGCATTATATAAACTTATCTCTTGATCTGAAAGCACATTTTTCGGCGGGCTTGTATCTATTATTTAACAATAATGATGAAAGTCAGAGACACGCATATATCGTTTCTAACGCGAAAAATTAAAAAAGCTTACATAAATAAAACGGGCGCTCGGGAGTTCGTAAAGATTCCCTTACAAACTTGTAGAGTTCAGACACTGTAAAAAAAACTATTTTAGATAGAGAACCTAGTAAATAATAATAAAACATCAACATAAAAATAAACCTTTTTCTTTGGATAAGAAAGTCGCCTGTAGCTGAAGTTGATCCGGGAATCGTACACGAACCATTGTCTACACAATGTCAAATTCTAATTCGTCATTAACTTGCAGCAACGGTAATAATCGCAAAACAATCAAAAGCATAGTTTGTCTTTTCTCTTATAACATACCTTTGGGTATTTTTTTTCTTTGGCTTTCTCTTCTTGTTCTCGGATAGCTTTCGTCTTAAATCCAGTGTTTTCTTCTGCACGACGCTTAGATTTTTGGAGTGCCAAGAGATGTTGTAACTCAGCTGGAGTTAATTCGTAAAAGGAATCCGGTAGATCAACTATATAATAATTGAACAACAAAGGATAAAATTAAATAGCTAATTTCGGAAGTGTTATTCAATCAAAAACAAATACGTACTTTGTGTTGCTGGTACTTCACTATGTGGTGCATTTAATACTTTGATATCTCTATTGAAAGCAATTGGCGCCACTTTTAATGACTCTGTTGTAGATGCTTGAGGTTCCGATAATGATGAGTTATCCAATGTCATAGATTCATCTGAGCCCGAAACTCTAACATCTGTCATTACTTCCTTCCCCAGACTCGGATCTATAAGTTTCGATGCTTCTCCAGATTCTGAAGGTATCGATGTGTCAGCAATGGTAGCGTTAGCAGTGGTGGTATCAGTAATGGTAGCATTCGTAGTGGTAGGATCAGCAGCGGTGGCATTAGCAGTAGTAGCATTAACAGCGGTAGCAGCAGCAGATGTATCATTTGTATCAGATAATATTTCTTGTGTTTCAGTAACTGCCAATTCTTGAGATTCCGGTATTGGTGGGTTATCCAATTCCATAGGCTGATCTGGGTCCGAAGCTTTATTATCTGCCATTACTTCCTTCCTAAAACTCGTATTTGTAAGTTTCGATATTTCCTCAGATTCTGAAGGTATTGATGTGTCAGCAATGGTAGTATTAGCAGTAATATTATCAACAGTAATATTTTCAGCAATATCAGTGGTAGCACTAGCAATGACAGCATTAACAACGGTAGCAGCAACAGAAATATCATTTGAAACCGATGATATTTCCTGTGTTTACATTGTTGTTTCGGTATCTGCCAATGTTTGAGGTTCCGCTATTTGCGGATTATCCAATTCCATAGGTTCATCTGGATCCGAAACTTTTGCAATTACTTCCTTCCCAAGATTCGTATTTGTAAGTTTTGATGCTTCTTCGGATGCTGAAGGTATTGATGTTTCAGTAATGGTGGAGTTAGTAATGGTAGTATCAGCAGTGACATTGTCAGAAGTGGTAGTAGTGGTAGTATCAGTAGGGATGGTGTCAGAAGTGGTAGTATTAACAGCGGTAGCAGCAGCAGAAGTAGGTAATATTTCCTGTGTTTTCACTGTTTCAGTAGCTGTCAATGCTTCTTCTAGACTTAGATTGGTATGTCTAAACGCGACGCGCAATACAGCATTCCCTGTAGTTATTCCGGCAGATTGAAGCGTAGTTGATTGAAGTACTGCATTTGTCGCGTACTACGTCAATAATAAATAAACAAATTAAAATCGTCAGCATTAGAAAAATAAAAAGGAAATATCAAAAATACCTCTTGATTTAATAGCAAGCAAACTGGTTGTTGATAAAAGAGGGGAAGGGGAACATCAGTGTTATTTTTTTTGGAAAATTTCTTAAAGACCCCCTTTTTGTTTGATGTTGACGGAGCAGGCGCAGGAGCAACTCGTTTAGTGAGATTCAAAGATCTTTTTGTCCATAAACATAGCAGAGAATGTCAGTCTTTTCAAGAAATATATAAACGACTATTCTGAAATTGGTTAAGAAATTAAGCTTAATAACAATATACCCGTCTTGAGAGTTACTCTCAAAATAGATCAGTATTTCCCATAGTGACATAGTAACAGGAAACTTGTGAATTGTTCGAGAGCCATCTTCCATTTGAAGTGCAATAGTAATTTCGCTCAAAACTAAGTAAATTTAAAGTCAATCGGTCTGGAAATAACAAGAAATCAACATTATTATAATAGCTAAAGAGGATAAAGACCTTTTGACGCGCCAACTCGAACTAATTCTAATTTTGCGCCAGGAGCAAGATTTGCATATCGAACAGTAAGTGAAAGATCGAGGACATTTTTGTCGAGCCTTTTATTTCATAATAACGTTAAAATGAAGCACATATGATGTAAAGACTTTTATAGGTCACTTGAAAACTTTGATTACTTTAGCCCGTAAATATTCGTATCATAGCCTTGTTTCTCACATACAGTTTTAACGATCTGTTTTAAAGGCATCATCGGGGTCGTCTTCACTTGTTGTTTTTTACCCCCACCAAGCAATACAACAACATTTGAGGACATTTTTTCCAATATTTTGTACTAAACCACTCTTAAAATCTGCAAAATGAAATGCTGAAGTATACATGAACACGTACTAAATAAAGTAAATAAATATTTGGAAGTTATTCAAATTTTCTACGGCACGTGTCCAAAACGTTTTGTGTATTTCACTCTTTATATATATATATATCATATTATAATGGGAACACCCGACGAGTGGCTGGCTACAATAAAAAAATGTCAGTATTTACCGGAACCTGATATTAAAAAGCTATGTGAGATGGTATGTATACGGGAAACGAAAGTAATGGCGCTAAAGAAAGGCTTTTGGCTTCTCGATAGTTACAAAGTATAATGAAACCGAACTTACATTTGGGATATTTTTCAAAACCAACAGGTTAAAGAATTGCTTTTAGAAGAGTCAAATATACAGCCCGTGAATACACCAGTGACAGTATGCGGCGATATACATGGGCAGTTTTATGATTTGTTGGAGTTGTTTCGTGTCGGTGGTGAAATTCCTGATACGCATTATATATTTATGGTTTGTGATTCTTTATCCTTATCATAATGCATTGAGTATAAATGTGTGACTTAATATTTTTATTATCGAAGTCGTTTAGAATTAATTTATCAATCTTTTAAGGGTGATTTCGTAGATCGCGGGTATTATAGTCTAGAAACGTTTACCCTGCTGATGGCGTTGAAAGCAAGGTGTGATTAATGTTCTATATTTGAATTTTTATTTGGAAGTTTTAATCGAGAAAATTTAGACGAAAAATTGAAAAAAATTTTTAAAAAAAAGATATCCCGATAAAATAACATTATTACGAGGCAATCACGAAAGTCGGCAGATCACGCAGGTGTATGGATTTTATGGTGAGTTGTTATGTTTTAATCATTTATTCTTTGTTGAGATACATGACATAGGTAATGGTAGTGATGAAAATGACGGTGATGTTTTTTGTTAGATGAATGTCAAAATAAATATGGAAACGCTAATGTATGGAAATATTGTTGTCAAGTGTTTGATTATTTAACGTTGGCTGCTGTAAGTAGATTATCTTTCAATTATTGATGACAAATTATCTTTAATAGATATATTCTAAAATTAATAAATTGCATTTTGTATGTTAGATTGTCGATGGTAAAGTATTATGTGTGCATGGTGGATTATCCCCAGAAGTTCGAACATTAGATCAAATACGGACGATACCACGGTCACAAGAAATCCCACACGAGGGTGCATTTTGTGGTATTTGTCAAGTTTTTGTATTAAATTTATCTTATATTTGGTTGATATATATAATAAGTAAGTTTTTCGTCTTTAGATTTGATGTGGTCTGACCCCGAAGAGCATATTGACACATGGGCTGTTAGTCCACGTGGAGCTGGCTGGTTATTTGGAGCCAAAGTTACAAATGAGGTGAAAATACAACATTCTATAAAAAAAACCTCTCGCGATAAAAAAATGATATTAATGCATGAAAAATAATTTATTTAGTTTAATTACGTAAATGGGCTTATTCTGATCGCACGTGCACATCAATTAGTACAAGAAGGATACAAATATGCCTTTCCGGATGATAACCTTGTAACTGTATGGTCTGCCCCAAATTACTGCTATCGCTGCGGAAATGTCGCCTCGATTATGCAGATTAATGAGAACCTGAAAGTTGACGAGAGCAGTTTCAAATTGTTTAATGCGGTTCCTGATCAAGAACGTAATATTCCGGCGAGAGTTGGTGTTGGACAATATTTCTTGTAGTCGTAGTTTTTTTGTAATATAATTTTTGGAACTAGTTGATACTAGATGAGATTTGATTTGTTGACGAAAGAGATTACGATGATGACTGATAGTAATGGTAGAAATTGAGTAGAACATTGGTAAACAATGAGGGACGAAAAAAAGCAAGAAAGGTTGTGAATTTTTTTTATTTTATAGTTTTTCGTCAATCTATTATTTTTTTTATTTTTTGATTTATTCTTTCATGGAGATGATCAATTTTGGGTTTAAGTTCTTTCTTTAATTATTTTTTTTTTGATTCGATTATACATACAAAGGCAATCCGGGTAAAAACCCGAACCTTAACAATTCGATGCACTAATTAAAAACTGGATAGACCGAATTTTTCAAATTTTCTACAATAGCGCCGACCACTTCAGTTTATCGAGTTTGCCTTTGTATTGATCGTTTATACAAAATCATCAATCTTTGTTTACCAATGCGAAGAAGGCGTTTTCTAAAATATACTTGTCAATAAATAATAAATAAAAACCGACATCGAAACCAAAAAACGGTAAGAAGTCTCGTCACCGTAGCTTCAATTGGTTCTTGTTATAATTGATTTTCCTAATATATCTTTCCCGAATTTTAATATATTTGATCATAATTGTCCCAATACCATAGTTGGTGCATTAAATTCACCGTTGTACACACGCTAATCTTTCCATTTACATAATATCGATATGTTGCTAATGTCAGCTTTCACGTAACATTAGCCTTGGACTAATATTACGCGTCACTAGGATGACTACAATTTCATAGGGATATGCAAATATTGCTCTCGACTACTTATCCTTTTGAGAGATATGCTCATTGTAAAACGGATAAATCTGGCAAATAAACTAAAATTCCTCTATTAAACATGTCCGGTCTTCTGCACAAACATTTTTAATGTATTTTCATCAGTGCGATCCGGAAAATTAGAGTTTTGTATAGGAGTTACTGAGTTTCCTCACAACTAATAAAACTAGAAGACTTACTTGCATTGTGAAAGATGGTTCAATGCATTTTATGCACTTAAATGCGACACGAAACATGGAGAACGTATCTTAATAACGCGAGTCACGTGAAATCAGAAATCAATGAAGTGAATACTGGTCATCATTCAATTTTTCTAACAACCAATAAGAATGTATAAATTTTTCGATCAGAAATGAAAGATATCCCGGTTTTCCAAATTGGGTGACTATGAAAGTATACTGTAATTGAATAAAAAATCGTTATTTTACAAAACTGGCAAGTACAAAAATTTTTATAAAACTTCTATGTATTTACCTCTCCCAAGGGGGTGGTGCTACTAAACATTAATACTTCTGCATTAAGCTCCCGTTTGCTAATAAAATATATCGTCGGGTATTATAATTTACACAATTTGCGGATAATATACAGCAATGAAATTTAATAGCTTGGAAAATAAATTACAAAGCCCAATGTCGTAAAATAATTATACAAAAAGAACTGGATAACAGACATCATCTTTGACGCTACATTTAGTTTCCATGCACATTGATTTGTAGACATAACGGGAGAACACACTCGCCAAGAGCTACATGACTTTCCGTTGTTTTCATGCACATTCGATTTTTAGACATAACAGGTCGCCAAGAACTACACGACTTTCCTTTGTTTTCGTTAAGATGTTTTTTGCGTTGCGTATCCGATATTTTAGAAACGATAATGGCGAGAAAATTATTCCTAAAAAAAGGAATTCATTCTTGTGCATGCCATTAATCATGAAATTCTTTCTTAACGAACACTTTTCCCCAATCAACTACGTTTTCTAATGGGAATTATTATTATGAACATTATTATTATTTATTATACATCATATTATTTATTATTATTATTAACATTATTATGATCGTTATAGGCATCTTTAATGACTTTATCAGAGCAATTTTAGCGAGCAAACAATTAACGAAAAAAAATTACCTTGATTATAGCATTTATAGGAAGATGTTCAACATTACACAAATACTTGTATCAATACATAAATATGAGAAACATATGTCATGTAATCACGCAAAAAAATTCACGCACACATTGACATATATTACATTAGCATACATATATACATACATACATAAAAAAACCTTTTTGTTTTTACTCTTCATTTCTTTTAACACGACATTCAATTCAATTAATCTCGTGGCACACACGCTACCGCATCATAATCATTTCATCCTCATCACCGTAAACACGTACAAATTTGAAAAAAATTGTGTATGTTTTAATTAAAATTAGCAAAAATTAATGTTGATAATCCTTATTACTTTTGTTTGGAACATAAAAAAAAAAAAAAAGAATTCGAGCAAAATGTTTTTGATTGAAGAATCGTGATTCTAGAGTATTGTCTTGGTTCTTCGAATTTCATGAAAAAAGTTCATAGCCGGTTATCCCATTAGTCAAATGGTTAAAGAAAAAAAGGCCACAGAGTAATCGTTTGACTTTTATAATTAGCTTTTTTTGACGGTTTCAACATTCAATCATAATCATATTACTCTGCCTATTAGCTAAATTGAATTCAAAATGCACAAGTATGTGGATAAATTTCATACTAATCAACATGCCAAACCTCCACGTAGAAGTTCCTTTTAACTTCTCATGCGATAAAAGACGACCCTTTCAACAACCATCTAAAAATTAAATTTTGTAAAAATTGTCCGAAATTTCGCGCTCTCGCTATCTTGAAAAAAATGGTAAATTCAATTTAAAAATTAAAGACATTATTGCTATCGTTTTTCCATATTCTTGTGCACCAGGTATTAATTAAAAAAAACCAACAGACCTACAGCAACACAACGCTACTTATAGATGTGTACTTAGTTCTGTGGTGTATCCTCATATTGGTTTGTGTATACTTTTAGTAACTGTGGTATTATTTATCATCTTGATTTTGTCCCATTATATTTATTTATTTACTCTTCTTTCGATCGTGCGTGTCTGTTTTCTCTATTTTCTCTCTCTCGTTCGCTGAATACTTTATTTCTCTCATTTGTGACTTTTGATAATAACATAATCATCGCTATCATCTGTACACATATACCATCTTTTATAAAATTATATCTTCGCGTCTGAATCGCCCAGGGTGCGGTTATATGGCACCCAACGAACAGCATGCTTGATAAAGATCCTTCTAGCGTCTCAACAACGAATGCTGAACAGCAAGAGGAGAAAACGCTTGACGATACGCAAGAAGAGAGTAGCATTGATAATAATAATAAAAAAAGAGAAGCGATAGAAAAATCTTTGAAGACTACAGCCGAAAGCATCGCGGCCGAAAGAGAAAAAACCGCAGCAATACTTACAAGTCGTAGTACAGATAATAACAAGAATAACAACAGCAACAATAAAAATAGTGAGATTTTGACAACTTCTACTTCCACCACCATTAACAATAACAAAAATAATAAAAACGAAAAAGCTTTCTTTACCCAAGTGGTCAACGCATTAAGCGAAGTATCCATAATAAATCCGGAGCGAAAAAGAAAAGCTGAAATAATTAATAAAAGCAACAGGGGCAGTTTAAGTAATAGGAACAGTAACAGTAGCGCAAAGACTATCAATATCAATAACAACAACCATAAAGACACTGATACAACATCAGGCAATATCACCACTACTAAAACCAAAGAAAATCGATTATCCAAAGAGTCCGGAATTGGATCGAGCGTAAGTAGTCAATTGGATGACGACAAAGACGCAGAGGACGATTCTGAAGAAATTTCTAGTAATTATAACGAATCAATTGATAAAAACAGTCAACAAATTTCTCCGCGTTCAAGTCAATTATTAGAAGGTTTAGAGGATCAATATTATAAAGTTACACACGAAAGAGAGCAGACTCTGGGAATAATCGCAGAGGAGGAAGAAACTAAATCAACGAAATCTATCACCAGTACAACTGGTACTATAATTAATATTTCTGGTCAAAATCAACAATCCTCTTCATCGTCACAACAGTCACAATTACCTGCGACAATAACTTCTCCTCCGCCAGCGCCATCTTCACAACAGCAACCGCGCATTGGCAACCTAAAGTCATTTGAACCTGATTCTAGATCGATAAAATCAATTGATCGTCATTCAACTGGTCGTCTCTCAACTGGTCGTCTCTCGTTAGATCGTATTTCGTTAGATCGCCTTTCGACTGAAACTGGAAATAGCATAAATATCAACGAAACAGATTCCAATACTTCTGTTACTGATCATTTAGAAGAGCAACAACAACATTTATCAAACTCTACAACCACCACATCAACTCTCCAATTGGACGAAAAGAAGAAGAAAGAATCAAAAAGAAAAAAAGAATCAAGGTCTTTTTTTTCTGTGTTGTCTTCTTCCTCGTTACGTTCTTCGATATCATCATCTTCTTCAAAGGATTCGAACAGAAACTCACAAAGAGGATCTTTGTCTGATCCGGAGGATGATTATTCTCAGCGAAGAAATAACAACAACAACAATAACAACAACAATAATAATAATAACAGCAAGTCAAAGGCAGAGCGAAAATTAAGCAGATCCAAATTTTCTTCACTATCAATACGAAATCGCACGAGAACAATGTTTGTAGCATCGTCTAACAATCATAATGATGAAACTTTTGGAAGTCGTCCTGGATCTCCTGATCCAATAAATTTCAATAATAGCAATAATAATAGTAATAATGAAAGATCTTTACCAGAACAAAGACAATTGACCAAAGTTGGTAAAGTTCTTGGAATGACACCAGACGAAGAAAAAATACTAGTGGGAACACCATCATCAACATCTATAGGCGGAGTAGGAATAAGTAGTAAGGCATCTAAAATCTTAGGTTTATCGTCGTCCCCACCATCAACAGACATAATACCTGATCGAGAAAGGCCACCGACTACTATTAGTAGTAGTGCAAAAGCGAACAAAGTACTTGGCATACCTCCTCTTGAGGATCATCGACCATTCTTGGATAAATCAAACAAGGCAAATAGAATACTGGGAATCAGCGAAGGAGATTCGCACAAAAGAGCGGCATCATTGCACGTGGAAAGAGTGACCGATAAAGTATTATCAGAATTCGTGGGACCACGATCTTCAACCCCATCATTCTCTGGCACAATAACCGTTGCAACTATTCGAAATCATATATCACAGAATGGGTACATGGCAAGATACATGTATCCAAGTTTCTCATTCTCAAAGTCCTGGAAGCGAAGATATTTTGCACTGGCCAAAGGCACATTATATTGTTTCAAATCATCAGACTCGATCGCGCCGATGATTGATAATTTCGAGATAACGGCGAACACGATTGTCTGCGTTACCGAGAATTTTAGTAATAAACCGTGGGTGCTGGAAGTAAGCAAACCCGGTGAGAAGAAATGGTACTTACAAGCGGACAATGTCGAAGATATGAAAGGGTGGTTAAGTGAACTAAAGTCGACCGTGACAAAATGTAAATATAGTACGCAGATGTTACCGGATGTCCCGACAAATATTACAAATACGGCAATTAATGCTTCTGTTTCATCGAATATCTTCGATCAGGATGAAAAATCAATAGTGAGCACGACCTTGATGAAATCATCGACTACTTCGACTATTAATAATAATCACCCTACACAATTTCATAATCGTCATCCGTATACTCATCATGGTAGCGCTAGTGTTAGTGGTATATCATCTTCATCAACAAGAATGCACAATAGTACTTCATCGCCAATCTTATCGGCAGTACGTACGCATTCAAAGCGATCAGAATCATTAAATAGTTATATTGATGAATCAAAATTATCTTATACATTATCATCTCTGCCAACTTACCATCAACGTCAACAATCACCTCCGCCAACGTTACCAATACCACCATCCTTGCCACCACCGCCGAGACCACAACCACCACCAAGGCCAGCTCCTCGAGTCTCGGCGTCTGCACCTCCGTCACCCACATACACTCAATCATTATCTCATAAAGCGTCGCCATCTGATGATGAGAATCATCATCCACCACAATCTCCTAGTGTCAAAATGATCGGATTATCGGAATTGGGGGTTCCTTCGCGTCCTTCTTCACCCATCGAAATGCAAAGAATAAAGAATCAACATCAAAAACGGTCAATGTCGCAATCAGAAAATGTGACATCACCGATTCCGATAAAACAAAAAGTTACAAAACATCGACCTACTTTGTCTGGGATATCGGCAACTGGCAGACCGAGATCAAGTTCTCTAAATTCGATAAATTCTGTTGCTACTGCATTATCACCACAGCATCAATCTCCACCATCGCCAACAAAGAAGAGTTCACAATTTAATACCAATTATTATTATAATTATTATTATCATTCTCTTAATAATTCCTCCGGAGTTATTTTACCGCCCCCTTATCCGAAACCTGATAAAAGAACAGTTATGTCATCTTCAAATAATAACGATGCAGGCATGTCATCATCGTGGTCACAAAGTGGAACATTTAAATCGACACAAAATATTTCATCTACAATAACGAATGCATCATTACCACCGCCACCACGATCTCCCCCACTACCACGTTCAAAACAATCGCCTACTTTTCCTCCTCGTTCCCCTAAATCACCGTCTCCACGTGCAACTCATTCGCCATCTCCATCGCGATCTTCTCATAATTCCCGATATACGCCTCCGTCCACGCCTTCCTCTCCATTATCACCTTTAGGATCTCCGGGATTCCCGATGCCACCTCCGAGAACAGTACCACCAGAATTTCATGTGGAAAATAGGCGTCGTCCACCTCCGCCTAATATTCCACTTCATCAAAGAAGACCAACTTCACCAATGTCTGCTCCAACATCTCCAGTGGTACTAAGGGATTCAAAATCATCAAATAGTCATCATCATCATTATCATCATCATTATAACCATTCGTTATCCACATCGCCACCCGGATCAAGATCAATGACTCCAACATTTAATAATAGCGGTCACAATAGATCATCAACAGAAACCACTGTATCACGTTCCTCATCAAAATCATCATCACGACCAAATTCACCGCCGCTATCACAACCTCGATCATTTTCATCAAATCGATTCAATCATAATCGA